GCGCTCGCCTGGGCTAGACCCCGCTCGCCTGGGCTACGCTGCGCTCGCCTGGGCTGCGCTGCGCTCGCCTGGGCTAGACCCCGCTCGCCTGGGCTAGACCCCGCTCGCCTGCCCACGTGCTCCTCGTTGCTGCCGGCTCCAGCGCCCGTCCGTCGAAGACGAGGAGGCGCAGCCCAGGGCGGAGGGGGACAGGCCCTGCCCTGCGCAATGCCCACCGCCAGCCTCCTTTTCCGCCTGCGCCGGCCTCCTGCCGCTGCCGCTGCTCCCCTCCTCGCCACCCGCTGCCAGCCCTCTCCTCCAGCTCCTCGTTCCTCGAGCCTCCACCTCGAGCCTGCAGTCAGGGCGAGCCCACGAGAACCCCTCCTCGCCGCAAGCGGCTCCGCCAGAAAAGCTGCTGGTGCCTCATCCAGGTCACTCAGCGCCGCGCATCGCGTCCCGTGATGCGCGACACGCGATCTTCTTCGCGCCCTCGCGCCACCCCCTTGGAGAAGGGCAACCGCTCTAGAGCCCAGACCGCGACGCGCGAGGCGCGATCATCACCCCTCCTTCGAAGCAACCTTCCCCCCTCCCCCTACCCCCTGGCGCGCGCCGCCACTCCACGGGAGCGCCCCACCCACCTACCCCCCCGCCCCAACAAAAACAGAACTCCAACGGCACACATGCCCCAAAAGCCAAGGTCCCCCCCAGTGGCGCGAAGATGATGCCTCCTGTCCAGTCCTTCCCAGCCGTGCCCCTGATCTGCCAGCATGGCTGTCTCGGCTCGTGCTGTGACTCGTCTTCGGCGTTGTGCGGCAATCCTGTCCAGGCCCGTCGCGCCCCCCCCCATCGCGCAAAGGACCTTTTGCTCTGTCCACAGCGCCTTCTGCACGATGCTGCCATAAGGAAAAATAAGTGGCGACACGCTGGGACCCGACACGCTGGGACCTCAGAGGTTGATCCGGGTGCCATGCTCATGGTGGCCGGCCCTGGCGGCAGAAAGCGCATTTCAATGGAACATCAATTCATGAACAAACACACGCGAGGCCAACATATCCACGCGATCGCTGCAGACAGTCACCGTGAATGCTGCGAAATTGCAAGGCGATCAGACATACGGAGCACCTGCTTGTGTGATCACAGCCAACTTGCAGGATGTACGTATCACCTTGGCATTTCCTGCTGGGAGGCCTGGTGCAAACGACGCAGTGCATCGCGGGGGTCGTGCAGCACCGTATCTCGTCGGCTCTGTGGGATGAGAGTCTGGCCAAGCTGAGCAGACGGGGGGGCAATGACTATCTCTAGAGGGAGCAGAGTGGCTGGAACCCGAGACGGTGAAGGGACGGGGAAGCGCAAACATCGGCACGGAAATTCATTATCAGGGGTCCGCACGCACCTCCTGGGAAGACGCTGGACCCTCCTCCCAGGCGCGTGCAGAGCGCCATGGGGCGGCGCAGGAGGAGCCGCCAGAGGAATCCAGCGCCGACCCAAGAAACTCGAGTAGGGGATTGACTACATAATTGATTTGCGCAAAAAAAAATACGACTTTCGTCAAGAAACATCTTGGTAGTTCGCTCGGAACTCTACGCTGTTCGGAGACTCGAAAAAGGAACCAATATGGGGCAAATTAATTCCGTAGTCGATCTTCTTCTCGAGAAGTCCAAGCAGAGCTCCGAGCGGATATATTTATGCGGTTTGTCTCCTCCGAGAAACAAGGCGGGCACGGGAGGAAGGAGAGGACAGCACCACAAGGGGGGGGGCGGCGGCGGCGACGGGGGCTGGCCTTTGTCAGAAAGCCCACCCGCCCGCATCTCAGAAGGCATGGGTGGGGAGGCGGCGGCCAAGAAAGGGGGGAGGAGGAGCGATCCTCTTTGAGAAAGACGCTGCCCTCTTGGAACGGCCCGACTCGAGCCTGGCTGTCCTTCCGATCTGGAAGCGGCGGCCCGTGGTCTCCCGTTTGATCTCCCGAACGCTCTCCCGAAATTCTGGTCTCCCGCATGGCCTCGCGCGTGTGACTTCCCGTGTGCTCTCCGGCACGGTCTCCCACATCGTCTCCCGTATGGTCTTCTCTGCAGCATTCCGTGTAGCCTCCCGTGTGGCCTCCCCGCGTGTGAAACATTGTATGTCGTCTATCTGATCTGTATATGTATGTATATATATGCATGTTCTCTTACATAGTTATGTAGTGATGTATTTAATCATTCATGTATGTATATAGTTACGCTTGCATGTCTTAAGTTGTCCATTTACTTATTTGTATGTAACTATGCTGCTTAGGGTATGATGCCGCCAGGGTGTAAAGCGGGAGCCATTCGAAAACCATCCTGCAGTAGGCGAGCCCTCGTGCGAAGCGTGTCTTTTGTGCAGCAGTGAGGGGCCTGTCGACCCAAATCTTCGGGCGGGCATGTCCCCCCAAAATAAAAACACCCCCAACATATGTTTCACAACAAATTGGATAATACGTAAATAAGTTCGTCCCCAGACTATGTTTGGACTATTGTTGAATATTCCTTCTATAGAGGGACATGCCCGACTTACCCTAATCCGTACTTTGTAGGAGTTTCGACTGGACCAGGAAATTCGGGCCCAGCTCGAAGACATGAGAGGGGGGGCGTCCATCCTCGATAGGGGCGTGCCCTTGTAGCCCCACCCCCCGAGGGCGTATACGTAGCCCCGAGCTCCCATCTTTCTCTGGGCGGCCGTTTCCTTTGTCCCGGGACAGCTTGGCGACTGGGGGCGATGCATCGCCTGCGACCGCTGGCCATCGCTCGGACGTCCATTTCCTGTGTTTTTGTTTCGGTTTCGTGCGTGTTTTTTTCGCCAAAGGATCAAGGATGCTCCTCGATGGTCCTCGCCGAAGGAAAAATGCACACGTCCGAGCGATGCCAGGACCGTGGTCGAGCCCACGCTCGCGAAACCTGCGATGCTTGAAGCGCGACTCGGCGGCGCAACATCGGCGGCGCGCCGAGGGGGAAAACCGCGAAGGGGCAGGCCTGCTCAGCAGGCCGGAAGCCCTCCGGCCTTCTGAGACGCCCTCTGTGTACAGTCGGGGCGTTGACCTAAGGAACCCTAAACAAGGAACGAGGCCCCTCTTTCTCATTAGTGAACCTTCGATTTCCTATCGAAAACATAAAAGAAACCTGAGGCAAGCTGTGAACCACCTAAGGAACGCGGAGCCCCTCCCCAACCAAAAAGGGTTCCTTAGTCAGCGCACCGACTGTATTCGGAGAAGGCTCAGAAAGCTTCTCAAAGGAAGCTTCTCGAATACTGGAGGCCTTCCGAGCCTTCTGGGGAAGCCCGCCCACTCTGCCTTCCCTCAGCTGGGGTGCGCTCGGACCAGGATCTCGGAGAGAATCCAGCGGTGGTGGCGAGGGAAAGGCAATGGAATCGATATCTCTTTCTCCTCTCCCCCCCTGAGGACGAAGGGATGAAGATCGGCTCGTCGGGCGGACTTTGACAATGGAATGCCCCCCTATATCCGATGTCTTCTGTTTGTTCCTGATGCGAAGTATGCGGACGTCCCGATCCTTTCCCCAGGGCAACCTTCCCATCCGACATCGTTTTTTGACGGTCCCGAGGCCCAGCGAGGGCTCCAAGAGGCCGAACACGGCCAAACCTCCCGTCGCGATGTTTTCAACACGCGAGGTGTTTTGGCTTTTCGGCTGATAACTCGGGTGTCCGGCGGCTGGAACGCCCTAGGCGAGGCGCAGCTGCTGGAAGGCATCCCGCGGCAAAGCATAAACGCAACAACTTGTCAAACACTGCCCAAAACCCTCCCGTCACGCTTTTCTTTGGGACGCGAGCATGTCTAGACTGGGAGCAGAAATATCCCCAATCGTGGGCGAAACACGTCAGATGGGAGGCTACTACTGGAAGATCTTCGCCGGACAGATGAGGGAGGATTAAGCCCCAATGGTGGGCTGTTGCACCGGATTCGGCCGCAGAATCGGCGGGATTAAACCGGATTCGGCGGGATCAAGCCGGATTACTGGCCATCGCTCGGACGTCCATTTCCTGTGTATTTTTTGGTTTCGTGCGTGCTTTTTTCGCCGAATGATCCAGGATGCTCCTCAATGGTCCTCGCCGAAGGAAAAACACACGTCCGAGTGATGCCAAACCAACACGAGCTGCATCCGTGGCCTCGCGGGCCAGGCCCCTGGGCCGCGACCCCGCGGACACGGGGCGCTGCTGCGGGGACGCCCAGCGGGGAACGCATCCGTGCACTGCCGCGTAGCCGCGGCATCGCACCCCCTGGGGTCCAGAAGACCTCGAGAGCGCAGCGGTCGCTAGGACGTCCCTTCCCCGTGCACTGTCTGGTTCCGTTGCCCTGCCTTTTGTCGAGAGGGTTCAATATTTTCTGGAGCTGCTCCTCCTCCTCCTCCTCCCCCTCCCCCTCCCCCTCCCCCCTCCCCCTCCTCCTCCTCCTCCTCCTCCTCCTCCTCCTCCTCCTCCTCCTCCTCCTCCTCCTCCTCCTCCTCCCCTCCTCCTCTGGCTCCTCATCCTGCTCCTGCTCCTCCCCCTCCTCCTCTGGCTCCTCATCCTGCTCCTGCTCCTGCTCATCCTCCTTCTCCTCCATTTCCTCCTCCTTCTGCCGAGAGCGATTCGCACGTCCGAGCGATGCCAAGTGGCCCCAGAAGCAGAATGAGATAGCATCGAGTCGGGAAATCCGATCGGCTCGGAATACACGCGTCGGAGTAGGCCACATCGGCTCGGAGTCCGAATCGAGCCGAATCGGCCCTCGACAGGAAACACAACGGCGCCATGCTGCAAGCATCGGGCCGCAGCGGATCGCCAGAATCTCGGAATTGAAACGGGTTAGGCTGGCCAAGACTTACGGGAAACCCAAAAGGTACCCCAGATTTCGTAAGAAAGGGAGGGGGGTCTCATTTCGGGGGGGGGTCTCTTCCAGGCTATCTTGGAGGGCCTGGGGGGTCTGGGGACGATGTTTTGGAGGGTTTTCCCACGGGGGAGGTCTGAAATGGCTTGTCTTGGAGGGTCCAGACCCCCTCCCTTTTATTACGAAATCTGGGGTACCCTTACCCCGCTAGTCACCATACCTCACCCCTGGTGCGCTCTGACAGGGAGGCGAGTCCAGCGGTGACGACGAGGACCTCCCAGGAGGCCCACGCAGGGGCGAAGCGAGCGGAGGGTAGCGGTGTGGGCACGTCCTCTGTCCTCCTCCGAGCATCGGAATCGAAGCGGCTCGGGCCGGCCAGGATTGACATCGAACCGGGTCGATCCGATCGGCGTGGGCCCTGCAGCAGCGGGCGGCGGGGCGCGGATGGCCCCCGTGTCGTGCTCCATCTCGTCGTAGTCCTCTGCGCGCCGTCGATGGTCGTCGTCGTCGTCGACGGCGACGACGTCGTCGCGTGAGGCGGCCGCCGGACCAGCCCTCGGAGCCGAGGCCACGCCCCCGCCGCACTCGAGGGGCAACGCTGGCGTCGAGCTCTCTTCGGCGCAGGTCTTGGAAGGGGAGGAGGGAAGGAATGGGGGGAGGAGGAGGAGGAGGAGGAGGAGGAGGAGGAGGATGCCTCCCGCCGCCGCTGCCGAGGCCAGAGGACGCCTTTTTTCGGGGCGCCGCGCGCCCGAGCAAGCTTCAGAGAAGGTGCACCGGCACAGATGATTGGACAGCGGGCGGAGGCGAGCCAGACGACCAGCTGCACAACACTGAGTCGAGGGTACAACTAAACGCGCGAGGGAGGGAGGGCTGGGAGCGCAACAATGAGACCTCAAATGGCAATGGAATGGCAAAGGAATGCTGCACGGAACCATGGCCATGAAATGCGGCCTCTCCTGCTGTGACGTCTGGCAATCTACAACGAAGTAGTGGGCATGCCTCCCGCCGCCGCTGCCGAGGCCAGAGGACGCCTTTTTTCGGGGCGCCGCGCGCCCGAGCAAGCTTCAGAGAAGGTGCACCGGCACAGATGATTGGACAGCGGGCGGAGGCGAGCCAGACGACCAGCTGCACAACACTGAGTCGAGGGTACAACTAAACGCAAACCTGCCAAACAATCCTTGGTCATCTCGATAAACTGCTGAATTATTCACCGTTAAACAAAAAGACTGGTCAATGCAATCGTCTTAGAACTGCCATGAGCGTGATCGAAGCAACGAGCGAGGGCCTTGCACAAAGCAGGAGGATACTGCTGAGCGGCTTTCGTCTTAAAGCCGCCTCCCTGAGCGAGGCCATGAATTGATGTGTGCTTTTTTCCCGTGCGAGAGCAGAGCTTGCCATGACACTCACGAGCAACAGACTGCAGAGATACGCGATCCCCTAACATCTGGGTCGGCTTCTTCCACGGCGTCCCCCATTGGCACATGTCCGTATACACGAGCTGGCTAGTACTCCATGCGGCAGCTTTTTTGAGACGAGGCAGCAGCCAGAGACGCGAACGTGCAGGATTCTCCAGCGCCACTGGGCGCTGGAGCAAGTGCATCAACTCAAAAATACTGCAACAGAAACCGGCAAGAATATTACCAATTCGAATAGCTTGCACATCGGCAGGATGGGTGACCTCAGGAAGCCCCATCAGATGCTGGTCAGATCGGAGCCGCGAAGGGAGAATTGGTCCAGCTTGACCCAGCTCTCGCAGCGGCCCTGTGTCCCTGGCCCTCGTCCACGTCTGGCATGGCGTCCCCATGAAGACTCCCCAGACCTGTCCGGCCAGGATCCAGCCTCTCACGAGCTTCTGGGCCTTCCTTGCCGAAAGGTCCCAGGCAGGCCCACGGCAGATGTCCCACTCGAGCACGACGAAGCCCCTCTCGCGAAGCGCCCGCGAGAGCCCGCCATGCCCGCTGAACAGCTCTAGAAAGACCTGCGGCTGGACCAGGCGGGCACCCCGGCTGGCCAAGGCGCGAGCGAAGGCCTCGCGAGGCAAGTCGGCAGCTGCGTCGCCGCCTCGACCGCCCTCGCGCGGACGCCCGGGGACAGCCGCTGCAGCTGCTCGCCCGCGCGCCCCTCCTTCTGGTAACGCCTCACGCTGGAGTCGCAGTGCCAGCGACCTCTCAGCTTGATCTCCTGCAGCGTCCGCAGCTGGCGCGCTCGATCGTGGCTGGACCCGCTGTGTCTCAGCATATACAGCTCCGGGCCCAGAGCCTGGACCCCTGCGCGCCCCGCCGCCTCCCGAAACTGGACCACCAGGTCGGCGTGCCGGAATGCGAACAGCGGCTGCCCGGCCGGCGTCTCCCTCTTGAGGTAGGCGAGCACGGGCACGAGGAAGTGGAACAGCGGCAGATCGAACACCACGGTCTCGTCGAACTCCCTTGTCTTGCTGCTGATCTCCTCCTCGCTCGGGCGCAGCACGATCGCCCAGTTCGCCACGTGGGTCCCCGGCACAGGCGGCGCGAGCATCTCGGCGGTAACCCGCTGCAGCTCGCTGGGGCGCAGGTAGCAGTGGAAGGTGATGATCGTCCAAGCCGCCATCGCCCAGAAGCCGGTCAGCAGCAGCTCCAGCGCGATCAGCGCGACGACCTCCCACGGCAGCGGCAGCCGCGCCCGCCCAGGGGCGAGCCGCTTCCAGCCCTTCAAGGCCTGCGCCGAGCGCGGAAGGGAGAGCCCTCCCGACTTTGCGAACTGCGGCCGGAAGTACTTCACCGCCGCTAGCCCCTTGGTGCCCCTCAGCGCCAGCTCCCCGAACGAGTACTCCTGGTCCATCCAGCTGGCGACCACGAAGTCCGTCTCGTCGTCGCCCGGCTCCGCCTGCAGGGAGCCCGCCGGACGCAGCCGCAGCCACATGCGAAGGATGTCCTGCCACAGACCGTCGTACTGGGCCACGGTCTTCGGAGTCACCGACGCCCGCTGCAGCAGCGATCCAGGGCCTCGGAGCGCCGTCCGACGAGCAGCAGCAGTAGCTCCCTGCCCGCGCCTCGCAGCTCGCGCCATCTTGCGGCTCCGGGCCGCGGGTGGTGGCGGCGCCCGCTGCTCCTGGCGCGACTGGGCCGCGACTGCACTCAGGTGCCGCCCCCTCCGAGGCTGAGGCCGCTCGGCCAGCGGACCGCCTCGCCGCAGGGCGTGCGGGCCGGCGGGCGCCCCGCAGAGCGCCGACGGCAGGCTCGCGGACGGCCAGCTCGGCGAGCTCGAGGCCGGCGCTGCGGCAGTCGGCCTGCTGGCTGCTGCGCCCGGCGTCCCGGACGGCCCACTGCTCGAAGCCCTCGGCAGTGTCCGCCGCGGCGCTGTCGAGCCAAACCCCGAGGGGGATGTGGCGGCGCGACGGCGCATCGGCGACGTTCCGTTCAGACGGAATCCAGCGCACCGAGGCCTGCACCGCGCCCGCCAGGCACCAGGCGGCCCATTGCCGGGCGACGCGGAGGACTCCCCCAGCTGAGGAGCGGCCCTTCTCCATAGCACACACGAGCCCCATGTTATCGCAAAGGAAGAGGATACGCTTACCGAAAGACTTCGAGTCGCGAAGTGCGTGCCTAAGAGAATGAACGAGCGCCCGACCTTCGAGGACGATGATCTTCTCGGACCGGGCCCACCCTCCGCTCGACACGACCTGCCACCTCCCCCCGTACAGCTCCTCCTCCACCTCCGGGACCTTCCACAAGTTACCCTCTGGATCCTCCACCGCCACCTCCGGCGACGCGACGGGCTCCACCTCCGGCGACACGACGAACTCGGCGATCGGCTCGACCTTCGCGGTGTCGGCGGTCGGCGGGTCGCTCTGCTCGAAGAGGCAATCGCGAGGTCGCGAAGCAGCTGCTCGTCGAAATCGCCACCTCTCCCCGTACCTCCCAGCACCACGAATTGCTCCCAGGTCGGCCTCCTTCTGGCACACGCCCCTCCCCTCCTCGCTAGCGTCGCTCGCGTAGACCCTGGGAGACCAGGTGGCCCGGAGATCAGCCCAGGCCAGGGGGATCAGGGAGGCGGCCCAACGAAGCTCACGGCGGACAGACGGCGGCAGCTTCATCACCCGATCGAAGTACTTCCTCGAGAAGGCATACACAGAACTAAATACGGCCAAGAGCGGGCGCCTCGACATAGCAATGAACGCGAAGTGACCAGCAATCTTCCCTACTTGTCGTCCCGAGGCGTGCCCACGAGCAAGCAAACCCTGGATCCCAAGACGAAGCCTCCAAGCACGACGACTCTTCGGCCTCGCAGCTCCACGCTCTCCGTCGAAGACCCAACCCAGCTGCTCAGACACAGAGGCGGGAAGATCAGGATCGTGAAGAGGGAGCCCCGCGCTGCTCAAGGCCTCTTGGGCCGACCTCAGGAGGGCCGCAGGCCTGTCAGGATTCACACCAAAGGAAATGAAATTGTCAACATAGGCTGTGTAGGCCCCGTCCTGGATGGGAGGCGTCGGCATACCATCGACCACTTCGGGAACGTTCTCAAACCCTCCCTTCTGGAGTAAGATATTTCTGTGCACTTTCTGGCAAAAGTCGAGCGCATGCGCCCAGCCCATAGGCAAAACGGCCAAGCACGGGCGCACCCAAGCGCGGCCTGGAACTGGACGCCCGCCCAGCTCACGCACTCCGAGCTGCGCTGCCCGAAGCCGCGGGAGCGCGAAGAGGTGCCGGAGCTCCGGCGGCAGGCCCATGTTGTAGAAGGCGCCCGCTATGTCGACTCCCGCCGTCCACAGCACCTCGCCCGGCGCCAGCTCGATGGAGCTGAAGCTGCCCCCGGACGCCAAGCTGGTCTTGTCGGGCTCCGCGAACCTGAAGTTGCTGCCCCTGCAATCGATCACCAGGCGCTGGCGACCATCCTTCTTCCAAACGGTGAATAGACCGACTTCCTCAAAATTGCCCTCATCGACCCTGAACTCCAGCATGCCACCGTCCCTCATCCTCTCGACGAAGGCCAGGTAGGCCGCGGGCTGCCGCAGCACTGGATCCAGGTAAGGGCGTGCGAAGCCAGCCTCCTTCTTAAAAATCTCGGCGCTTTGAATTGGCAAAACCTTCGAAGTGGTGAACCTTCGCACGATGTCTGGACCGTCGTCTCCCAACAACTGGCTCAGGGGCACAGGCGTACCGCCCACAGCTGGCAGAGACACGAGGTCGTGCGCGAAGGGGGCCACCGCGACGGGCTCGCCGTCGGAGTAGCCGGCGCCAACCTGGAGCTCCCGGAGGGCCACCTCGGTCGACAAGTCTGGAGGAATGGAGCCCATCGCCGCACAGCTATCGGCGAGATGCTCCAGGCAAAGCTGCTGCATCCTGTTGGGCTCCTGGCCAGCACGGCGCGGCGGGTCATCAGAGCCGGCATCCAGCTGGTTGAGCGCCACTACTAGCTCGGCCACGAGCTCACCCTGCAGCGCCCTGTTGGCGCGGCGACGCCGCGCTGCGCGACCGCCGCCGCCGCCGGCAGCAGCCTGCGC